ATTGAATAATACAGGACTATAAAAGCCCAGTCCCCTGGTCCCCAACGCTGCAGGGCATCTGTTTCAGAGACCACTCCTTAAGGAGCAGGCCAAGGCTAGGCTTTGCTGGACCCTTCTTCAAAATAGAATAAGCTGGGCCGGCCCCGTGGCTTAGCGGTTGGGTGCTCGCGCTCCGCTGCTGGCGGCCCGGGTTCGGATCCCGGGCGAGCACCGACGCACCGCTTCTCCGGCCATGCTGAGGCCGCATCCCACATACAGCAACTAGAATGGATGTGCAACTACGACATACAACTATCTACTGGGGCTTTGGGGGAAAAATAAATAAATAAAATCTTTAAAAAAAAAAAAATAGAATAAGCTACATAAATAAAATATACGTCCGTCTTAGACAGTCACCATCCTATTCCCTTTCCCACCTAGAAACTAGGGCTTTGATTATCATGCCTTAATCACATAATAACAACTCCTACAATTTTAAGAGACCGGCTTGCTGATCTGTTTAAGAGTTCTCTATGCTGGACTGAGAATGGTGCACTGGAACAATGAAACGAGATCAGAAGACCACAGTTCTAGCCCTGGTTCTGCCAGTTATTTTTATTAACTGTTTGATATGGAGTGGTCACGTAACCGCTCAGAATCTTCCTTGCCTTCTGTACAGAAGGTGGATTATACTTTTACCTTCTAATTCAATAGGTAGGTATGAGAACAACTGAGCTAGTAAATGAAAAACAGAAATGAAAAATCAGGCCTGGTCTTTTTTCTAATTGAAGAAACTGAGATATAAGTATTGTAAAAATAGTAATGAACTCAGAAGTCTCCAATCCCCAGTGCTATGCTGTGTGTTTTGTCAGATCATGCTACTCGAAAGAGCAGGAAAGTTTGCAGTATCTGACAGTTCTCACTGGAACGAATTTCAATAGACTTTGTGAGCAATGTCAACATCGAATCAAATGTGGTTATTAAAAAAAATATATAGCAACCCTTTCTTCCACTGGTCTTCAATTTCTATTCCAAAAGCAATTACCTTTTTTATTGCACTTATGTTTTTCTAAGTTTGCGGTTGTATTATGAAGCAAATGTCAAGCAAATTTTGTTGTGGAGATGGAAATTCTTTTTCCTTTTCTTTTTTTTTTTTATTACTTACTTGCCTTTGGATAATTCCTAAAAGAAGTTTCCTTACTTTGAATAATACTTGTGTTACTTTTGGTTTTTCTTTCTTTTGATAGTGGCCTTCTAAGAGAGGTTTCTTATGAAGCGTTTGTATTCCCTTTTGTGTTTTTCTAAAGTGCATTATAAGCTTTATTTCCTTTTCCCTGAAATTTTCTTCAGGTCCACTGGAGTAACTAAGTGATTATATTATTTTCACTTTACAAAAATACAGGGTATCAGATTTCCATCTTTATGTAAAATAAATTTGTAGTTCCCGACCGTTTCCTGGCTTCTCTGTGGAATTCAGCTCATTTAAAGCTCATCTGTTGTTAAAAAGGATGTCTTAATTTTTTTGTTTAATTCCAGATTTCATTGTTACTTTTTTATTTACCCCTCACATCTCAGAGCTAGTAGTTTTGGCAAAAAAATTCCAAAATAACGGACCATCTTATCCACCTTACCTATACTAGAATTCACAGAAAAACTAACAGAAAACGTCCAAAGACGCTGAGTGAAAGAGTAAGTCCCATTTCTTTTATCACGTCAACTGAAAGTAGCTGGAAGGAGCTATGAATAAGCTCTCAGGTACAAACACATGAGTCAACTGAGTCACAAGCAAAAGAAATCAGCTTGTCATACTTTACCAACTCCATAATAAGGTTTTCTCTTAAATGTCAACTAGCTGAATACAACACGATGCTGTGTGTCTACTGAAGGTAGTGCCCGCTGGCTGTGGTGGGAGGTGTTCATTTCACTCTTAGAATGTCAGCAGTGAATATAGTAAAAACAAGGGCAGAATGGAATTTTGAAGAATGTGCCCCATAAAACAACTCACTGTGAAAACAGGGTCCTGGAAGCCTGACCTCATCTAAGCTGACCAGAGTGTGGCTGTCCACTTATGTCCCCTCCACAAAGCCAGATGTGCTACAAAGCGGGCAGCGGTGGGTGGTGCAGTGTTTAAACACTGACTCATCCTCTCAGTATGAACTATGGAGAGACAAGCTTGCAGACAACCAGAAGCTGTGGATAAACTTCATAACCCTAATAAATAAAGTGGTGCCTTCTCAGGCAGTAAGAAACAGTGCCTAGAACACGGTTGTGATGGTTCATTTTACGCATCAACTTGGCTAGGCTATGGTGCCCAGCTGTTTGGTCAAATACCAGTCCAGATGTTGCTCAGAAGATATTTTTCAGATGTGATTAGCATGTAAATCAGCAGACTTTGAGTGAAGGAGACCAGTCTCTATAATGTGGGTGGCCCCCATGCAATCAGTTGAAGGCAGAGCAATTCGGCCTCAAGACTGCAACATAGAAACCCTGTCTGAGATTCCAGCTTGTGGGCCTGTCCTGCAGATTTTGGACTCAAGAGTGCAACAACTCGTATGTGAATCTCCAGCCTGCTCCACAGATTTCCGACTTGCCAGGCCCCACAATCATGTGAGCCAATTCTTTAAAATAAACCTCTCTCTCTCCCATTGTCTCTCTCATTGTCTCTCTCCCTTTCTCTCTCTGTATATACATACACACACACACACACACACGCGCACATTTATATCCTTTTGGCTCTGTTTCTCTGGAGAACCCTGACTAATAGAATGGCAGTTACTGACTGCTCACCAGAAGCCCTGAGAGACTGAATATACAAATAGACAATTGATAGACCACATGCAAAAAAGAACTTTGACCTACAATCTGCAGCAACCTCTCCAGAACACCAACCCCCTTATCTACAGTAAACAACCATGAAGCAGGCTGCTTTACGTCAGACTTGCAGGAAACCTGATTGCTATCGCTAGTGACAATCCAGGAAGCTAAACAATAACTTCTGTAACTACCGGCCCTGAAGGGCCAGGACTTGATTAATAACTGACAGCTTCCCTAACTTTCATCACTCCTTTCGACTGAGGACCAACCCTAGAAAGCCAAATACACTCCCCTGACCAATCACATAGGATGCCCAGCTTCTAGTGAGCCACCTCCAGCTTCCCCAGACCAACACGTCCAATCAGGGCACATCTGACACCCTCCTTTTTTCACGCTATAAAGCTTTTCCACTCTGCCTGCCTTTGTTTTTTGGCTTCTTTTTTATTTTTTAACATTTCAGACAGTGATTTAATGAAATCCACTTAAAAGACATCTGACAGTTTTAATGCATTATTTATTTATTTATTTATTTATTATTTTTTTTGTGTGAGGAAGATCAGCCCTGAGCTAACATCTGCGCTAATCCTCCTCTTTTTGCTGAGGAAGACCGGCTCTGAGCTAACATCTATTGCCAATCTTCCTCTTTTTTTTTCTCCCCCAAAGCCCCAGTAGATAGTTGTATGTCATAGTTGCACATCCTTCTAGTTGCTGCATGTGGGACGCAGCCTCAGCATGGCCGGAGAAGTGGTGCGTCGGTGCGCGTCCGGGATCCCAACCCGGGCCGCCAATAGCGGAGCGCGCACACTTAACCGCTAAGCCACGGGGCCGGCCCCCATCTGACAGTTTTAAATACAGAAATATTAGTTTCTCATGCATATCAACAGATATTAAAATTTCTACAATTCCTTATGCTCTGCTTGCCTTTGGGTCTGTGCCAAAACACAAGTGACAGTAGCTGACTTCCTGGCAAGCGCAGAATAAACAGCCTTCACTTTTCCCATTTGGTTGGTCTTTGTTTATTCCCACAGCCCTAAGGTACTCAGATGGCAAGAAATCAGGTCTGCTGGAGAGCACAGTGGGATATGGCCTGCCTCAAAAGGCTGCTGCTGATAGGACAGAATTTCCAGACTCTACACGTATAATTCAGAACGTGGACAATAGATATGCATAAGTATTCTATGTATTCTCCTCCTACCAAGCACTATTATTAGTCAAGTTGAATAATATGCTTTATTTTTTATTTTTTTGGTGAGGAAGATTAGCCCTGAGCTAACATCCATTGCCAATCCTTCTCTTTTTGCTGAGGAAGACTGGCCCTGGGCTAACATCCATGCCCATCTTCCTCCACTTTATATGGGACACCGCCACAGCATGACTTGACAAGCGGTTCGTCGATGTGCGCCCGAGATCCGAACCCGGGCCACCAGAAGCGGAGCATGCGCACTTAACCGCTAAGCCATGGGGCCAGCCCCCCAATATTCTCTTTTTAACTGAAACAAATGGTAATAGAAAACAAATGACTGAAAGCCTTTAGTACAAAAACAATTTTAAAAATCTGATTATTTGACTTATGCCTTACTGACAACAGTTTGCTGACTATACACTTAACTATAAAAGATTCTAAATATTTCTTCCCTTAGCCTCAACAAATTTATTATTTCAGATAAAAATATAAAAAGTAATATTTCTGTCTATAAAAGTTGCTTCTGACCTGCTACATATAGAATTTACAACGAATCTGCAAACACTAAGATTTGGGCATGATAGCGATACAACTGAATTTATAAAAATTAACATAAGTGGCTGAGACCTTTGAGAGCTGACAATTAAAAGGGACCAGGAATACAAGTTAATGCCACATAATATAGGAATATCACAATGGGATGCATTTGATAATTAGATTTATTGTTTTAAAAAAATAGTAAGTATAACCTTAAATCAGCAGAATGTCACAGCAGACGTTTTGGCTAAATGAAGAATTTGATTTTTGGCTTATGCTAATTAAGTGTAAACCATTACTTTAAGTGCTGTTTTCAACAATATGCAAAAATCACACTTGATTTGAGAACATCCATTTAATAATGTAAATCTTCAGAAAAGATCAAAAATGAATTGCCATTGTATTGTAAATATGATCAATATAAATCTTAAGCTATGAAAAAAAGAACATGATCCCCAAACACAGCACAAATCTCACCTCCTTCAGAGGTAAATGTACACCAAAAGCAATAAAAGATAATAAAACAATTGATGTGCTGGCAATAAGGGAAACAGGGACCTGTTTCTAACAGGGATGCTCCCTGGAAGGTTACAGTCGTGGAAGGTAATGAGGTGCCTTAACATTTTCACTTGAAAATTCTGCAAAGGTTCCTTAACGGTCCATCCAATTATTCAGAAGATCTGATCTTCTCAGGAAGCAGCTTCTAACAGCAGGTCTGGGATGCTAGTTGTGACTTGCATTTGGAGGGTGCTGTATTAACAATGCACAAGAAAAATATGTTATTAAACCTGCAGGCAAACACTTCACCTCCTCCAAGGACTCTCTTCGGAATACTGCCATCCTTTAAATCTGCACTTCAACTGAGTTCTCTGCACATTTATACACCCTGTCTATTGTAGGAAGCGGAGAGAAAACCTTCAGAGTTCACAGTGAGGCCACTCTATGAATAACGTGACCCACACCCCAAGATTAAGCAGAAATATCTGCGCGCACACACTAAAATAACAAAACTTACCGCTGCCTTCAAAGCTTGATCTAGATCTTCCAGTAGGTCTTTTTTATCCTCTAACCCCACAGATAGTCGAATCAGTGTGTCACTAATTCCCAGGACATCTCTGTCACTCTTAGGCACTGATGAATGGGTCATGATTGCCCTGGAAGAAAGAGTGAGCAAATTTTTGATCACTATATTGTATCAGGTATGTTTTTAGGTATATTTTTAGGAGGTATATTTTTATCTCATAAATTGGTATCATCTTCAATTTTTTCAAATCTAAATGTCAAATTCTTCATACATCCATACTTTCTCACAGGCAAAAAAAAATAAGGAATTAAGAAAATTTTCTTTTCTAGTCATGATCTTAAGTAGAAACCCACATCTTGTATCATTTTTATGCCATCAGTAAGATCCAGTCAATGCAGACACTGAAGGTGCCAGTCAAGCACTGGCGTGCAGGAGGGAAAGACACAGCCTCCCGGGTGTGGATTCTAACACCTGCCTGAATGAGGACTTGGCCACAAGTCATGCACCCCAAGACCAACCAGCTCTGGATCAGTGGATTAATCCAGAACTGGACCTTCTCAGGCAGATCAGGGAAAGACAACCCAGGATCACTAGTAGCCACCAGTGAGCGGCAGGAATTCCGGCACATCACCCATGACAGAGAGCCTCCAGGGATTTTCAAAACCATCTAGCAACTCATCGTCATCATCGACACGTGGAAAGGCAAAGCGCCTACCGCGGTCAGGCACTATAGTAATAACCGGGAGACCAGGAGGAATGAGAGCTTTCCTTTACCCTAGACAACACGGCAGGAGCTAAAGACTGTGACAACTCACAAACCAGAACAGTCTTCGGCAAAGGCCCCGCAAGTGCGGACGGCAGGGAAGGCCAGCGATCCGAGGAGGGAGAAACCGTGGTGAGGCAGCACGGAGGAGGCGCTTCAGGCTCACTGAGCCCTGGTGCGCACACGGCCACCAACGCATCCCTTCCTGCACCCGACCCGCAGATCAACGCCCAAGCAGCTCCTCCCCTCTCACCTCAGACCCGTGGAAAGAAAATCTCAGTCGTGGTCAAAGTAAACGCATACCTTCCTTTATCACTCTAAGGACGTTTCACACGCAAACACCCTCCTTAAAATGTTCTGCCTTTTCAGGCTCTTAATTCCTTACGAGAGAGGGCACACGTAGAAATAAGAACTTAGGCCTCTGAGACCAACAGACTTCGGTGTGAATCACAGCCCCTCCACACCCTGGCTGTGTGGGCTCGTGAAAGTTCCCTGTACTCACAGTGATTTCCGTATCTGAAATAATAATAGCTATCACTTCTTGTGTGCTTACCATGAGGCGGGCACTCTACTAGGTCATGTGTGTGCATTAATTCATTCTTTTAATGGATCAAAATTGGATAGAACACCTATCTCAAAAGTGTGCCACAGTCATTAATGGAAGGAACATATATAAACCACTTACAAGTACCTGGAATGTAGTAAACGCCTAATAAAAACAATAATTCGTAATAGTAGTTAACATTTACTGGGCACTTAGTATGCATCGAGGCGTCAGCTTAGGGATTTTTCCCCCGTGTTCTCACAACAACCCTAAGGGCTGGGTTCAGTGTTATCCACATTTACAACTGAGGAAACTGAGACTGAGAGGATGATAACTTCCCTAAGGGCACTGAGTTAGCGCGCATCATGTCGTCAGGCTGGGAGAACAGCCCCGCGCAGGCTGGATCTGCTTCCCGCCCCTCTTATTGCAATGCTGCAGCAGTTGCAGCCGAGTTGGGAGACACAGAAGGAGGTGATAGATCAGACAAGCCCTGACCTAAACTCACTCGTCCACTGGCATCGGGGTTACGGCCTAGCTGGAGTGTCTCAGGGCCAAGCAACTTTAAACCAAATCCCTAAATATATCAGGGAGGGCTATTTTCAAGAGAGCCTTAAAGTAATAGACATTTCATTACTATGAAAAATAAACCAATTTCACATGCGGAGTGTGCCCTCTTGTACACCCAGACTTCCCAGCAGGCATCTTCTGGAAGGACTAACAAAAACCCATACGTATCTTAATTACTTGAATCATTATTTGGGCATCATATACCTGTTAATTTTGTGAAATTGACCAGATTTTATCAGGGTCTCCATTCTACAGAATCCATTCTGATTAGATAGTGCCATGCTGCTTTTGTTGTTCAGTATCTTGAATTATCCCTGACTTTACCATACTCCTTTTCCCAAACAATCATTAAATCTGACATCAAAGTTAAAATACTGAGAAAACAGAAATATACTCACGGAAGCTCAGCAAGACTTTCGAATCCTCCCAAGCTCTCAGCCAGGGTAAACAACTGTGGCAAAGAAAACACTAATTTAGATCTTCCACTAAAATAAAAATACAAAAGTCTAAAAATAAATGTTTTTTAAAAATGGCCCTGAGACAGAGGATGAGAAATGGTGGTGATTATGAATAAACTGGAAATTGGGCAAGAAACTCAGAGAAAAAATGAGCATAAAATCTATAACAATGATTTCACAAGGCAGACATATTATGTGTAAACTTTTAAAACATTAAACGTTGATCGAGGTGACTCTCCTATACCTTCCTAATTTGGCCCTGTACTTAAGTAATACTTAACATGAGCTCTAAAACCTCAGAATTATTACCTTTGAGACCTAGCTCCATGGTTACCTTTTAAATAAAAATCTCTAAATGTCTCCCAAGATATATACTTACTTATTAATATGTAATACTGATTAACTTAATACATCTATTTAACACCCTCCTGGGTAGAAGAAAAAAAACCTCAGCTTTTATATTTAGTGTTATAGTGTCATAGACTTTTACAAATATTTTAAAAGTTACTCTCATAACTGTATTAAATTAAATATACACTACGATCTTTCTGATGTTAGACATGTACAAATTTTAGACACCAGGAGGGCTTTGACTAATGTGGCAGCATCCTATTCATTAGACCCGTAGTATTGAAAGCGCAGGGTCCACTGCATGAGCTCAGTGTAAGCCCAGGACACGCAGTTAGACAGGCCTCCCTCCCAGGGCCCCGAGAGCCTCCTGTCACTGTGAAAATTAGGCAAAGGCCTCCCTTCCCTCACCCCAGGAAGATGCAGCCTGGGAGGCCCAAGGTTTGGAAAGCCATTCCTAGGCTGGATTTCAGAACAGCCTCGTGCAGTGCACTAACCACACGCTACTTCGAGGTCTCACATACATTTCCTTTGAAAAAGTGGTTCACTTTTAAATGAATTTGAAAATCAATGCATTAGGACATTCTGTTTCTCTCAGATTGCTTGAAGTGTCTGGAGAGTTGAATAAATAAACCTACTCAGATGTCTGCTACTGCACCAAAGTCACTTTCCAACCCAACAATTCACGATGAAGAGGTTTGTGGCTGTGACCTGCAGGTACAGAAACATGAACCTGAGCTGATGGATCTGAGAGATAGTGAACTGCTGTGAGAAGGTCTCATCTCTGCAATGTAAAAACCTAACTGAAGGTTTACCTTTAGGTTCTTGAGGAAAGTCTCGGCGTGCTGCAGAGCGCCCTTAATATAAAAGGTGACCATCCCTGGGCAACCTGTACACTGACGCTTTGCCAACTCGTGCTGCGGATGAGAGGGCAGCCCTGGAATCATAAGGCATAATAAAAGTCTTACTTTAGAGTCAAACTGTAATTTCAGAATTAAAAAAAATCACCATCTGCTTAAGTAAATTGCAAATAATCCTAATAGTGGGCTTTATGGCATGTTCACATCAGACTACTTGCTCTGGACCCCGTCTCTATCTCTCTAGCTTCTTTTTCACCAATCTTTTGTACCTTCTCCATGCTCTAGACACACCATCTTTCTTTACATCAGCAGTATCACACTCTTTTTTTTTATCTCAGGACCTTTGCACATGCTATCCCTTTAACCTGGAACATTCTCCCCGCTCACAAATAAACGTTACATAAACAGGATGTCTAGGATAACCCTTAAATCCTTGTGTAAGCATACATGCTTAGCAACCAGATGAACATACCAGGATAAATAACCTTTTCTACCCGAGGATTAGACTCCAGAAACTGAGCAACTGCCATTCCATTTTCAAAATGCTTCTCCATTCGGACTTGTAGAGTCTTCAGACCGCGATTGCAGAGGTAACAGTCAAGAGGAGACGGAACTGCTCCAAGAGCTATAAAATGAACAATCCTGGGTTAGTTTGAAAGTGGGAAGGAACCCAGAAAATTCTCTCACCCCTCTTATTCATTATAGTGACTCTGAGAAGCTAGCTACTAAGCCCAATGTTTTGAGTCTTAGGGGGAAAAATTAATACAAGTCAGAAGCATGAAAATGAAGCATTAAATATGCTTAGAGAAACGAGCTTTAAAATGAGAGGGGAAATAAATGTCCCAAAAACTAAGTATAAACACAGTGATATAAACGTTTTGAATATCAGCATAAATAGTCTTTTCCATGATTTTAATGAAATGACACACTGCACATGGTTTAACCTTGTATTTCTTTGAAAAAGTATTACATGTAGAGAAAAACAGCAGTTCAGCTCCTATTATTCCTGAATGTTCTGCTAACATTCTATTTGGCTTTTGTCTAAAGCAGCCTATGACTTCACATGCCTCCAGGACTCGCACTTCACTCCCACTTCTTATAAATGAAGGAATTTATCAAGCAATAAGTTTTGGTTTCCCTCCTCAGGGCCCCCTTTGGTTACTTTAATACTTATTTCCTAGAAAGGCATTATTTTTAAGCAGCTTAAAACACCAGACACTTATTATCTTCCCACGGGTCAGGGGTCCCAGCACAGCGGGGCTGGGTGCTCTCTCTGGTATTACAAGGCTGCAGTCACGGTGTTGACTGGGCTGTGTTCTATAAGGGCATTTTTATTCCTAATTATGTCTGCATCTTATCTGTCAAATCGCAATGGTTAAACCAAGTCTCTTTAAACAAGCCCTTATCCATACTTGAGATAACTGAACAATGTAAACGGGAAATGGTGTTCAGACATCTGATGAGAAATATTTTTATGTCTTAAGAGCTATTTAAAATTAACCACATTCCAGATATAAAAGGTATAGTACAAGAAAGCCACCATTCCAAACGATTTTTTAAAAAAAGAAAAAGAAATCCATTAAGTCTTAAAAGTAAAAATTCACGTGGGCTTTACCAAATCATGATCAAAATTATCACGGATTTGAAAAATAACAAAATTTGTCTCAAATCACGTCATTAAGCCCTCTTAGGCTATAACTATATTTTTATAACCCAATTTTTCTACTTTCCTCTAAAAATCAAAACTTTCCCCTCTATTTCTCATTTCTTCCTAAATTAGTAGAATGCTATCACTTCGCAACATTCAGACTAAATACAAACATCGAATGAATATGGTCACTCTGAGAGCATAAGGGGAAATCTGAACTATTTAATACTTACAGTTTTGCAAGAAACGGAGCCTACTATGGAGGCTTTCAGAATCAAGAGACACTAAGCCCATTACAACATCACTGTGGCCTAAAACAAAATGAAAATCTTTAATTTTAAAAACAATGTTTGTTTGTTGTTCATTTTATAATTTCTAACATGTGACTTGCACTAGAAAAAAAAATCTCTGGGAAAAAGCCCTACAGAGTAAGTTTAAATAAACTTTATTCAATTTGACAGTAGCAAAAGCTATACCTAAAACAATGTAAAAAAAGCTATATCTAAAAATCATGTAAAAATTAAATATTTCTTTTTAAGCTGTCAGCAGGATAAAAGTATAACCTTTTATAGTAAATTTTAATCTTCTGCTCATAAATCATGAGCATAGTTTTGTCTGCTATAAATGAAATCCTATATTCAATCAAAGTATATATATTTTTTTACTTTCTATATGAGTCAAAGAGAAAACCTGAATAACAGTAGAAGAAAAGGGATCCCAGTGTCAAGCCCCGTGCTATTTCATCCATGTGTGGAAAAGAACATCCAAGCGTAGACTGTGCGTGTCTTACCGTTCATATACTTTGTTGCTGAATACATACAAATATCAGCCCCCAGAGCCAAAGGCCGCTGAAAGGAACAAGAGGTTTCTATTTTAATGGGAAATCATTTGCAAATATGCTTCATGACTTGTCTATTTGCTATTGTAAATTCCATTCCCATTCTAACTTTTCAAAAATACATACAGCTTGAAATTTTCCCGAATCTGAGATATTATCTTTCCCTTTTCTTCCTCCAACCAAACAAAAATACAAAATATTGAGCCCAGTATTCAATTCAAAGGAACAGATTTTCTGGAAACAGCAGATAAACTCGAGTCAACAGGTCTCCTGATCTGTTTCTTTAGAGCAATTGCTGATTGGCCCCTAAATTTATTATCCACAGCAGAGATGTTGGCGTTTTTATGACTCAGTAAACACATAAAATACTTGAGGTCAAGCTTCAGCCACTATTATGGCAAGTAAGTATACAACTGATCTGCTTAGATTTTTAATCATTCAAACCTTACCATGTGCGCTGTGATTACTCACTTGGTTTGCCATGATTTTCACTCTTAGTTACTCTTTCGTTATACTAGTTTTGCCAAGTGGAAAGTCACTTATAAAGAAATTTGTTTGGATTGTTTTCCCACATCCAATTTTCCTGCAAATTAATCCTTTAATCTTAAATATCTTTGTTCATAAGGAGAGTCAAAGTTATAATCAACTTATTCACTAAACAATATTTTATCAACAACTTGCCACTTACATTTTCTTTACAAAAAAGTGTGTGTGTGTGCTGACCTCACTAGTTGTTTAATCTTTGGAACATGTTAGAGTAGGGGGCTATGGGACTTTTTCATTTGGAGTTTTCCAAAAATAGGATTGTTTTTTTGTGTGTGTGAGGAAGATCCGCCCTGAGCTAACATCCATGCTAATCCTCCTCTTTTTACTGAGGAAGACTGGCCCTGGGCTAACATCTGTGCCAAACTTCCTCCACTTTACGTGGGACACCGCCACAGCATGGCTTGACAAGCGGTGCCTGGGTGCGCGCCCGGGATCCAAACCCAGGCCGTCAGCAGCGGAGAGCGTGCACTTAACCACTACACCACGGGGCTGGCCCCACAAAATAGGATGTTTTAAGTAATGTGTTGCTCAAAGCTCTCTCTATGTATGTGTTTGCTCATCTCCAAAGTGATGGATCAAACTAGATGATGTCTAAGGTCTCTCCTGGTGTTACCATTTTGTAAACTCTATGGTCAAAAGAAAAGGAAAAATAAAAACCAATAACTAATATCTGTTGATCTCATTATGTGCCAAGAACCATGTTAAATACTTCACGTAACCCAGTGAAGCACTATAGAAATATTCTACCCAACTCAACAAAATCAGTACCTTTATGACTCTGATCGTACAGATGAGTAAAAGGAACTAAGAAAAATACAATAGACCACTCGGATAAAAAACTGGTAGAGCCAGTACTCACACCCAGACTACCTGAATCCAGAGGTTCTACTCTGCAACTCTCTCCCGGTATGTCCATTTTGCCTTTTGTGAGACTTACATAAGATCCAGGAGACAAAAAGTAGGGAAGAAAGAGAATATATCCAGTTTTCATGAGGGTGAAACAACAAGAGGACCTTTTCAGAAGATTTGCTTTGTGGAACGAATGCACGTGGCTGCCTAGAGACAATGTGATTTTGATTGATTCAGCTGGAGTGAATCCAGATTGAAATGAAGCAAATTACAGTCCCCGGCATGAGGAATGTGATGTGGGCTCCAGAAAGGTAGAAAAACCAAACCTATTTTAGCGACGGTAATAGGAGAAAAATGGCCAAGCCTGATGAGTAACCTAGGCAGGCTCAGCCTAAAACAACTCACACAATCTCTGTGGGCATATACAGGACTCACCATGACTCAGCTAGAGCAATCCTAGGCTGTATGAACCTGCCTCCTGTAAGTGCTATATGAGTAAGGAGTTGGGATAAAGAAACCAAGAGTGAAAATCACCTGAGACAAATAGATAATGCCAGGAGATTTTCACTAGGAAACAGACTGCTGTACCTGATACAAGAAGCAGCCAAAGATATGGCATTAGCCAAAGGTAGACGGCCCATGAAGCTATCTGAATGCAGGGTAGCCAGGAAATGTGTTTCAGGAAAGCAAGATAAAACATGATACTGCCTTCTGAATAAAAAGGAGGAAGGTGAAGAATAGGCTTATGCAGACTCCCAGGGCGTCGGCCAGTCACACGGAGGCAGCAGCCTGGGCCAACCTCAGGGACCCAGAGCAGAAGGGGAGGAAATGTAAACAACTGAGCCTGTAAACATCTGCCTAATTGAAGAGCTGGAGAAAATGAGCTGGGGCTTCAGGAACTCTGCAGAACAAAGGTGAACTACAGAAAGTGTAATAAGAGTGACCACAAGGCAGAAGGAAAGAGCGGGAGAGGGTGAGTCCTAATAAGGAAAGGAAACAGAGTTAGGTCACTCAGAGGAAATGAGGGAAAAGACAGACAACAAGTCAGTTATAGAGAGATCCCAAGATGACCCACCAAAAGGAGCAAAACAAAAAGGAAGAAGATCTGGAAAAAAGTAGGAGGAAAAAGGAAAGGAATGGAGGATGAGTGGAGGGTTTGAGAGAGGGGGAGATGTCTGTAGAGGGGCAGGAAGGAAAAGAGACACCAATTTAAAAGGAGCACTATCAGGCCGGCCCCGGGGCTTAGCGGTTAAGTGCGCGCGCTCCGCTACTGGCGGCCCGGGTTCGGATCCCGGGTGTGCACCAACGCCCCACTTCTCCGGCCATGCTGAGGCTGCGTCCCACATACAGCAACTAGAAGGATATGCAACTATGACATACAACTATCTACTGGGGCTTTGGGGGAAAAAAGGAGGAGGATTGGCAATAGATGTTAGCTCAGAGCCGGTCTTCCTCAGCAAAAAGAGGAGGATTAGCATGGATGTTAGCTCAGGGCTGATCTTCCTCACAAAAAAATAAATAAATAAATAAATAAATAAATAAAAGGAGCACTATGAATGCTTACAACTGCATGTGCAACATGAAGCAGAAATTCATAATACAAATAAGGCAAAGATACAGAGGGTGAGGCATAGACAATGGGGTCCTGAGGGAAGAGAAACGAGAAAGAAGAAAGAGAAATGGAGAAATAATATGTGTGACATACAGTGAGATGTCATTGAATATAGCTTTTCTTTTCCTTTTATTTGAAAGGTTGGTCAGGTAAAAAATATATACAAGCTTAAGTATATGAGGTGTGACTAGAAAACAACATGACTGACTTGTTACCAGCACATAAACATGGAGGTCGCTACTATGTGGAAGGCCTCAACAGAAACAATCCCATAACAAGGCCAGGTCTTCAGAGTTCACACATCCTAAGAGAACCTAAAAGCTTTAATTAAGACAACATTTAAAACACACAGAGTCCCATACGAGATATTAACCTAGGGTTGAAAACATATTAAATAATGGTAGGGAAGGTCCAATTTTAATTCTCTGTCTAATCAATAATTACGATTAGATGGAATCAGTTTGATAATGATTTTAATGTACACAAGTCCTTCCTTTCCTAATTATAGGTGTCTGTACAGTCTACTAATCACGCCAAAAAAGTTATTTTCATTTACCTGGAAATACGCCGACATAAAAGTGTTATCCACGACCAAAATAATGTCTCCATGTTTATGGACAATATGTGCACAGGCTTCAATGTCAACCATCTTCAAAACAGGGTTTGTGGGGGTTTCAATCCAAACGAGCTAAAACAATTCAATAAATGACAAACGTTTGTAAAAACACACTGTACAAACACACATCCCATATACTGTGACCATCTGGGAGCCTACCCTGGAAGAGCATGGATGATGAAGTTGAAAGGTTAGAATCCGAATTCTAGCGCCTATAAATTTCAGAGAAGTCAGAGCTAAGGAACTTACCCTCTATATTCCTCAAATTCTTCATCTGTACAATCGGGTTGGTAATATTTACCTGATAGAATTATTCTAAGAATCAAATAAGATAAAGTATATACAAGCAGAAAAGTGCTAAAGTTAATTATTGTAATTATTTTCCATAAAAAAGAGGATTATGCCAAAGACATAATTCAGTCTCTGGGAATTTTGTTCTCAAAGATAAATAACAGATCATCTAAGGTTACATCCTAGAATTTTCATTAAAGGGAACTATCCCCATGATGCCAAAAAATCCTTACTATTAACTTAAATAAAGCTGGATGCACTAGAAACTATAAACAAAGTACCCAGGACTTGAAGAAGAGCATAGGTTTTAGAGTGAAGAAGAGACACACAGCAGAACGCCTGGCTACAGCTCACTTAAGAGAAAATACATGTTTATCTATATATTCCAAAACCTAGCACAATTCAGGCACGCAGTGGATGCGTGATAGTTCCTGAAGAGAGGAAGAAAAGAAGAGAGTTCTATCTGTTCAAGAAGGTGCCACTGTATTGAATGACATTATCTACGGCTTTCTTTTTAAAAGGATTAATGGACCTTTTTTTATTACCTACATAAACGGACAAGATATCTGATTTAATACTCTTCCTACTCTGGAGTGTTACTGTAGAAAAGGTAAGATAGTTAAAATAATGCATATTCTACAAGAACTGAAGTATTTAAATAATCTATAAAAATTATTCCTGGGCAAGAATTTATTATTCCCACTGATAATAAAAAAAAAATTAAAATTAAAAAGTGTAAATAAATACAAAGTCATTATTATATATACTTAAAAAATCTACTTCGAATGATGAGGCAGATATTTTGGGGGGAAAATGTATTAATTCAAGTCAGTAAAGAGCCACTACACAAAGTCGTGTTGACAAGAATTAATATACTCACAGTTTGCTGTCCTCCTTTAGAAAGACTCAGACCAGCTATTTTAACAAGCATCTTTTCTCCCAAGCAAGATAAAAAACAAATTCCCTTGAAAACAAACCTTAATCACTCAAAGCTCACCTCATGCTAATCTTCAAAGTAATTATTTGTGTAAGAAAAAGTTTTCATTTTTCAGCATTCACTGTAACATAATCTTGAGCATAATTCAAACCTTTTAATCATTAGCAAAGAGTTGGAAAAAGCTGACTTATGAAAGACACTGGTCCTTCCTTTACCCAGGCAGAATTTAAATGAGGCCTCAAGAATGAATATCGCATATGCCATTCACTCAGGCACAAAATATCTTCCAGCAGCACACAAGCTTCCCAGGATGGAGGCTAAAGATCGTTTGCGGCCCATTCTCTCCTGCTAACTACTATTTTGCTAAAGTATCCCTTAGAACTCTCAAAAAGCCACTATGCTTAGCTTTTGGGGCTTGGCAAAAGTGTCCTTTTCTGTAACCCAATCACTGTCATGACTTCTGTAACCAACACTAACTTGGTAATGCAGTTAAGCATCATGTGCTCTTGCTAACAAACTTTTAACAATTATGTATCAGGCACTGTACTAAGCATTTCATATGCATTATCTCATTTTATTCACATAACCACCTTTCTATAAAACAGAAACTACCCCCATTTTGCAAAAGAAGAAATTGAGACTTTGGTTAACCATTTGCCCAAGATAATACACCAACTATGATACAGAATTAGAATTTGAATCCCACTCCAGAACTCATGTACTTAACCATTATACTATAATACCTAGGAGATAAAACACCTATCTTACTCTTGTTGATGGTTTCCAAGGGCTTCTAATAAAATTTGTTATTCAGATTTAAATTATGTCCTCTAGTAAACAGAAATGATGAAAACAAAACATCACAGGGAAAACAGACAAAACTGAAAACTAACGGAGTTACCTTGGTTTCTGGTGTAATGGCTGCCTCTAGCAACTTGGTTTTGGAACAATCAACAAAAGAAATCTTTAATCCAAATTCAGATGCCACCTGCCTGAAGTACCTGTTTGTACCTGAGGCAGAACAGAAGCAGATAAAATGGAAAGAATATTGTATTAAGAAATGTTCATTCCTTACAGGTATAAACACTTTAAAGATATAAGCAAATGTAAATCACCAATAAAAATACAACTAAAAGCAATTCTACTTTGGTTAAATAGTTTGGCTATCTTGTATAATAAAGTATATAAGGTTTGGATTTTAAACTAAAAGTTAAAGAGTCAAATAAAACACATTTGATCCACACCAAGTGGCATGAAGCAGAAAATGTTTCTCACAATACACAATCTGTACTCTTCAAACATTAAGTGGCATGCTCCCTGAAACATCAATATCTTTTTAAATAATTTCTTCCTAGTACTCAAATCTAAAGTAAATGAACCAATGTCAATGAAATGTTTCAAAATAAATTTTCAATCTGATTATACTTTGGTAATAGAATTGGCTATTCTTCTTTGTACTTTCTCAATCTTTTTGTTCTGTGGTTCTGAAAGCTTTAATAGATAAGTGAGATGATGTAAATCAAACTACTAGAGTTTTATAGTGAAAAAAGATAAATCATTTGAGTTAGAATAATTTCTTTTATCAACACTGTTCTGGATTTGATTTTTACATATACAAATTGAAAGGGAAAATTGCTGTATTGAGAGTCAACCAAAAAAAAAGGAAAAACACTCTATGATCAAAACTATACTAAACTTTTGATGTTATGCAGACTGACCTTAGATAATATAAGATTGCAAAATGATGTAAAGAATTGTTAAAAATCAACAGTAATTTTCAAGATTTTGTAATATATTTGCCATAAGGTTTTTATAAGCATTCTAAAAGTAACTAAAGCTTTGAGATTTTGTAATTTAAATTCAACAAACTATCATAGGGACCTAAGATAAAATACACAGAACTTTGCAAATTTCTGAGGGATAAAACAATTACTAAGAGTGAGTCCCTTCCTTCAAAGAACTTACAGATGTAACCTTTTGTTCAGATAGGAGATAGATAAAATGATAATAATATTCTAGCAGTCACATTTTAATTATTTGGAAGCATTTGGAATATATATGTATATTTACAAAATTTTTTGCTGTTGTTTTGAACACAAAAATAAGTCTTGCTTAAAGGCACGGGTGACTGTCTTCTTCACCTTCCCACTCGCCACTTTAAATAACTAGCATTTAAACCCCTTAGAATGGAAGTCCTTAAATTTGGATCCATAAATAGGCTTCAAGGGACTCTATGGATGGGCCTCAATGGGTGAGACTCCTTGACCCTAAAATTAAAATGATAAACATTGGGTGTCACCTTAAGTACATTTTTTAGGGAAAGGAGTCCATAGCCTTCAACAGATTTTCAAAAGGTCCCCTAAAACCAAAAGGGGTAGGTAGAGTTAAGCTCTTTGAGAGTGACCTGGGTTACAGTTCATCTTCATTGCAGGTAAAATCACAAATTACACTAGAATGCTCTCCCTTTAAACACTGTCTTCTCTAGAGTAAAATATGTTTGAAAGTTGATCAAGTCCTACATCCTCATTCCAGCAGCTTAAGTAAAATTCTTATTAGACAGTCTTTCTTATACGCAGTTCCAGAGCAGGGACACAAAGCGTTCATGCTCCCCCTTTACCAAGTCGGAGCCAGCATGGAGGGTCCACCACACCTTTAAAATTTAATCAATAATCCTGGTTACAGTGCTACTATAATTCAGGACCCACTTCAGTATCTTTAAAATGTCAGCTGACACAACATGAAAGAGAGCGGTCACCCACCTCCATACACATCATCCATACAAATAATGTGGTCCCCTGCTTTTAAGAGATGGGTGATAGTCACAGTGGCTGCTAAACCTGAAGCAAAGGCCAAACCTAAAATAAAAACCAAGTTAGAGTAAGCCAAAAAGCCAGACCTATAGGTTAAAAACACCTACAGTATTTACTTGCATTACTTATGTCCCTCTCTCTGCTGATGGAAGGACAGACGTCCCCCGATTAATACCATTACAAAATCCCCCTTTCTATTTCAAAGACAAAATGTCTTTAAAATAAAAAATATATAATTCTGCTTTGGTTATAACATTTCTCTGAAACACTTCAAGGAAATAATTCTTTACAAAAGTCTGAGATAAAAGGCCAATTGCCAATTAAATTACAATGTAAAAAAATCAAACTCTAAAGAAATTTCAAACTTGGTGAATAGAGATAAGATATATTCTTTCATTAACTATATGAATATGCAATTGAGCAAATAAATATTTTAACAAAATTCAAAATCAGACCTGAGATGTGTCTGATAAATTTAATAAATTTCCTTTTTAATTTGTTATGCAGAATCTCTTTTAAACAAAAGTGATCCTGAATCTCAAATTGAACAAAAATAATAAAAATGACTAATAAAAAAATAACATGCATTGTGCACATTAAACTGTAAAAGAAAATATGCTGACAAAATATCAACATATCACCTTGATGATAAAAACCATCTGTGACTGGCAAAAGGCATAATCCATAATAATTAACTTGAAAAATGTAATTATTATAAAATCTTCTCAGAGAAGTCTAGGCTGGGATTACAGTTCTCTACTAAGCAGATCTGAGGTCCAACAGTGAACTCATATAAAAGGCTACATTTTAAACCCAGTGGAAAACGACCATATTTCCCAGAGCCCACTTGAAAAAGTGTCTGGCATATGAACACTCAGCCTTTACACTTCCTGCAGGAAATAATGTTCCCCATACAGCACTAAATTACGGAAGTTTAGTGTTTAATCTCATCCAAAACAAAACAAAAACCCCCCAAAATCCCAAACAAACGCAGCAATTCACATTAACATTTCTAATTCCTACATTCTTGCAGTGAGAAAACTCATAAGACTCTTATTTTCTAGCCAAGAATCTGCTCTCATTTAGTATCATTTATATAAAATACACAAAGATGATTTAACAGCAATCCAATCCCTTCACGAAGAAAACACAAGATTCACGGAATTAATCCCTAATCTCTGAGAGCACATTATCAAGGGCACCTGGCTATTGCAAACATACACTGGTGCTATTCTTAGGCACAAACTATCAGGTGAATAAACCAGAGTATAAGAAAGCTTATATTCTCATAAGTAGTGTTATAAAACTTAGTTAATTTTTATCTTTTTATACTGACAGGTTTACATGAACACCAAATGGCAAATTATGCCATTTTGCCTCTACTCGTATTTATTTTTACCTAATGATTACACAGATGCATATTCTACCAGCTCTGGGATGTTGGGCAAATAATTCAATGTCTTAGTAAAATAAGACTTTGGAACCAGCTAATCCTTATTTCATTCTAATTCTACATCCTGTGCCTCGATGATTTTCTCTATACATAGAGGAATGCATTCTAGACTTCACAAACCTGGAAATGGAAATCACTTACTGTATTTAGCCCCATCCAGTGTTGCCACTGCTTTTTCCAAGCAATTCCTGGTGGGGTTTCCAGAACGGCTATATTCGAAACCCTGAAGAGAAGAAGTTAGAGTTCATCCTGAGAGATTTATTATCCGAGTCCCAACACAGACATCTCCACAACCATGGGCTCATCCTGCCATCGTGATTTCCTATTCTTTACATATGACATGTCTTGCCATTAGACAGAAGCGTGACAGTGTTGTGGCTGTAGTGGTGTGGGGAGGTCTGAAGTCAGCCAAACTGGATTAGAATTCTGTATCTGCCACTGAGCTACATGCCTATAGGTGACTGACAACATTTCCCAGAGTCAATCTCAGTATCTGTAAAGTGGGAATAAAACACAAATATCTAGTTCATAAAATTGTCATGAGGATAAAATGAGATAATGTACCATAAGTTCTCTGCATGGTGCCTGGCACATGCTAACCACTAGACAAATGGTTGTTTTTATTATTGGCTTAATATTATGTTAGACTCGCCTTTACCCATTAATCTAGGGACAGTAGGAAAAAGGAATCACCTGAGCCAACAGAGTCAACCTAATTCCAACCTATATTTTACCCCCTAAGAAACAAGTGATGGGAATTCTGTTTAGCATCCCACAGGAAGCTATGACCAGATCCTGCAAATGCACAGAGTTCAGATCTTGGCTCTACAAAAGCGACTCGAAAAACAGAGAGGAATTCTTGGCAGAGCGGCTCCACAAAATACTTTTTTAAAATTTGCATTATGCGCCTTTTACATGTATGGCAGCACGCTAGCTGTATCCATCCAGTCATTTTATTTAATCCTCACGACCTGCTTTGAGGAAAGTGAAGCTAAATGTCACAGGGCGTGTCAGAGCCCGAATTCAAACCCAGGATTTAAACATGGAATACAAACACTATAATTTTCTCCCCTGCCTCATATAGCACATAACAAACATAACCACTCTTTACACCTTTCTTTCTGATTCAAGAGCTCCCAGTAATAGTGATTTTTTTTTTCTTTTACATTTTGTTGCTTTGTTTGTTTCCTTGTTTCTGAGAAATTGAGTAGACATATTTCATAGGGCTCCAGGATACTCTCATCACTCCTTGCCATCACCTCCTTGATGTGACCTGCAGCTGTCCTCACCAGACACAAAAAAACTGTTTGGATTCATGTGGCTACTGCCACAGAAAAGTACCCCGTGTTTCCACCAATGTTCAGTGTGGAGATCTGACGTTGTGGAGGGAAAAGAAGCCCATTCAGTGACAAATTCCCACCCTCTCGCCCATTCAATAGCTTTCTAAATGGAACTGGAGAATTAGATGCTTCTCATTCAGCTCCTCAAATTCTCTTTAGGGTTCTTAACAGATTTTCTAAAGGTAGTAAGAGGAGTTTGTGGATTTTACCATCCCTGCTCACTCGCTGGAAACATTTAATTATTAATACCATAGCTAACTGGTTAACTTTTGTACTAAGTGCTAAAGCTTGGTCAGCTACACATTCACGAAACCCTATACTACGAACAGACCACACGCTTAGAAGATAGGCTGTGTACATATTCTGATTCCAAAATAGAGTAGCTAAAAGTATCCTAAACCAGCTGTAGAAATGCCCTTAGAACTCTACTTCACAAAGCAATGGGCTAAATCTAGAAGAATTGTTCCCAACTTATATGACATAACACACTAAAGAGGTTTCTGAAGTATAACCAAGGTTTTGGACCTACAAAGTTTAACTAATTTCTTCTGAAACTCAGCAATTTTTAAATACTCCAAAATCCATCAAGTATGCTACCAAAAGGGAAAAAGCTATGTGATTAACAAAGAGGACTCTCTCATAAGCCTTAGAAGTCATTCATCTCTGACTCTGGGTCAATTCCTTTTCTATAAAAAGTGTATAATACCTGTCCTGCCCTCTGACCTGGTTGTTGTCAGGATCAAATGGAAAAAGTGTAAATGTAAACACCGTGAAACACCAAACTACTGAGCAATTGTAATATACCATACAGCTTAACACACATATCAACAATTTATTGATCCCATTTACACCAGACCAACCTGAGGCTTGGACAGGGTAAGTAACTTGCTCAAGATTACCCAGCTCAGAAGAGGTGGTGTCAGAATTCAAACCCTGGGCCTCTAACTACACGATTTTTGCTCTTAATCAGTCAGCCACACTGCTTACATGATGCAATGGGTTAGATTATTGCTAGCATTGTTGGAGTAGAGCACAGCATAGCCTAATGCCTAAGAGTGGGATTCTAGAACAGGGTTGGAATCCCAGCTCCACCACCTACTAGCCACGTAGCCTTAGGCTAGTTACTTAACATCCCCACATCTCAATTTTTCATGAGAAAAATGAGAACCCAGTTCCGACTAGGGCTGTTGTCAGGATTAGCCAAGACAGTACATGTAATACACATGATATAATACATGTAAGCGTGTACTCCATAGTACATACTTAGCACATAGTAAGTTCTCAGTAACTATTAACAAACTGAATACAGTTATCAGGAATGATCTTGATTCTAGGCAAGTTATCAGACCCTTAAATGTTTTTTTAGCTGACTCACTATATCTTTATAACTTTTGCTGCTAAAGGTAATTCAAGGAAATCATGAGATCCTCAGGTTTGAACTGCAAATTTGCTAAAATCACATGAATTTCAGTCCAAAACTATACGGCAAGTTGGACAAACTGTTCCTTCCAGTCCTGCTTATCAAAAGAAGTATGATCACTGTACCATTCAATACAAAGCTTTACTGCATCCTTGCAATCCTTTCGGGGTGCCTTCCTGATATATAATCCATCTTATAAACTACTTGCGTGCCTGTTTCACTTACATGCCATCTCTCTTTCCTCCCCCAACCCTGGACCGCCCCCGACAGACCCAGCTCACCGAGTGCTGGCCGGGAGCCCCTTGCTTGAACGTGGTGGCCAATGAGATGGGGGGCACGACAGCCCGGGAGGTCCACTGCTCCGGCTCCTGGCCCGCACGGATGGCCTGCGTGGCGAAATGCTGGAAGCCAGGTAGGAAACCGGGCGGGGAGGCGTCTTTCTCCTGCATGCTGAGCTGCGAAGAAAGGAGAGAGAAAAAGACCGAGGAAGATAAAACTAGGAAACGGGCGCGTCGGGGTTTGAAAGACACACAACAGAATCAGGAGAAAGGGAGCCACGGGACGCGGCGCACCAGCGGCGAGCGCACACGAGCCGGACCCCGCGACTCGGTGGCTGAGACTTGATCAGCGGGCGGAGGGCTGCGTTCACCGCGGGGCGGGGCCAGCGCCACCCAATGAGCGAAGGCCCCGACGCGGCCCCCGCTCCTCATTGGCCGGCGGCGGAGGCGTTGCCGGGAGCGCCCCGGGGACCGCCTTCCCGGTGCCGACCCGGAGCGAAGCCCGAGTCCGTGTGTCCACGTGGTGTTGGTCCCCGCGGGTGACATTCCGGAGTCCCGGCCCTGGGGAAGCTGCCCGGCTGCTTCCTGTGGGCCACCCGGGCGTCTGGGTGACGCTCAGGCCCGAGGTCCTCCGGGGACCTGGGGAAAGGCTGGCTTGGTGTTGAAACCGAGTAACCTGCAAACAGGCCGCACAAACAGCCTCCCGTTAATGCAGCCCGAGCCCCTGACCCCCGCCCGCCGCCACCACCCTTTGTCCTGGGGCGGTGCTGACGACGCAAGCGACAAAGTGGAGATTCCTTACGAAAACCGTGGCCCAAGCTGCCAGATCTGTAGCTTGCATTCTCCTTGACCGCGCGGGTAGCCTCCCTTTGGAGGTACACTGAACTCTGTAATGACCCCGTTCTTTCGACGATTGAAACAGGAGTGAGGGTCATATTTTTCTTAAAGTACAGTAATAGGAAGCTACTGCAGTGAGGATCTCTAAGCAGAACTCTGGCAGCTTCCTAAGAGCTGTACAAACTTGGCCTTTTTTCAAGCATCACTATGCTTTTGAAGTACCCGGAAATACTCTCTCAGATAAAAAAGTTAGCGCGGCTTTGAAAAACTTACCTGAGCCTCAAATCCTTACACAAAATGCCTTCATTGTTACACAATTGACAGCAACATCCTTGTAGGAAAAAAGAAGCAGTCTCGTGTCACAATTTACCATTCGCCTGCACCCAGAGCCCTACTCTCACCAGGATCCCTCTCTTAATACAAACAATAAAGTCTCCTTGTTCCCTAAACAGTACAGACTTGACGTATTTACTGTTGTGACTATTTTCTAGGACTAGGGAATTTAGGAATATTTCTGTTCCTGCAAAGTATTAGCTAAAAATCTGAAACTTTATTAAACCATTTAAGAAAGAGGGGATTTTGGCTTAAACAGCTCTTAAAATTTTACTGGAAGGACTGAGGCAATTTGCTTTTCAAATTAGCTTCAGGGACACTTAACCATTAAGCACTAGAGGCACAGTGCCTAACGGCCTGCAAGCTTTTAGAGGCCTAGCAAAATGTTTATGCCTGGGGAAGAAATGGATGGACTCCAGAAGCCTAATAGATATTAATATATATTCAATTAATATTTTCCCTTTAAAAAGATAACCTGTCAACTGCAGCTCATCTCAGGAGTTATATATAACTGTACACGGGTGTGTTGTTAAGTGGTTAGATGTTCAGGGACGGGGAGGGTCTAAAACAATCCTAATTAATTTACCTCCTAATATTTGTGGATAAACCCTGAGTTGCATAAATATGGATATTCTATTTAGTGTTACTGTATTAAAGGATTCTTTAAAAGATGCTGCCAATATAAATGCTCTAAATTAAGCCTTTGTTTACTCTCCTAAATGGAGGAAACTTTATTAGATGACAGCTTGGTATACTGTACCAAGGATTCTTATGACTCTGAAATTTTACTTATAGGAATTTATCCTTCACATGTATTCCTACATGTGTGTGAAGATGAGCAAGGATGTTCTTTTGTGTGTATGTGTGAGGAAGATCAGCCCCGTGCTAACATCTTTTTGCCGAGGAAGACTGGCCCTGGGCTAACATCCGTGCCCATACTTCCTCCACTTTATATGGGATGCCGCCACAGCATGGCTTGCCAAGCAGTGCATCAGTGCGCGCCCGGGATCCAAACCTGCAAACCTGGGCCACCGCAGCGGAGCGCCCGCACTTAACCACTTGTGCCACCGGGCTGGCCCCGCAAGGATGTTCTTTATAGCTATTTTTGCTATTTTTAGTAGCAAGAGATTGGAAAACAGCTTAATTATCCATCCATAGGAGACTGGTCAGTCAGCTACAGTAGAGTTCTGTGATGGCCACAGTATAGCAGAGAAGCAAGGGAGATTGATATGAGCTGTTATGTCGTGATCTCTAACTTCCAAGACAGCAAAGCAAGGTACATAACAATGTATATGTTATACTTACACTTTTTCAAAAGAGTATATACCGTGTTGCATTATTTTTAGACAGATATATATGGTTTAATGTGTATAAAAATCATTCTGGTAACAGAGACCATGGATCTGCAGTAGAAAGATAACTTTGTTTACATTTTATTTGCTTTTGTGTTCAAGTTTATACCGTGGGCGTATATTACCTTTTCAACAATAATAATAATGCCAAAAATCCTTATTTAAAAATTGCAGTTAAGGGGGCCAGCCCCGTGGCTTAGCGCTTAAGTGCACGTGTTCCGCTACTGGCGGCCCGGTTCGGATCCCACCGCTTCTCCGGCCATGCTGAGGCCGCGTCCCACATACAGCAACTAGCAGGATGTGCACCTATGACATACAACTATCTACTGGGGCTTTGGGGAGAAAAAGGGAAAAAATAAATAAATAAATAAAAATTGCAGTTAAGCAAGTTAATTATAAAAAAAATCTTTTTAAATGAATAAAAATAGCTACTTTAGATATAGTAAATGCTGTAGAGTTTGGGGTATGGGCTAATTTTTCATGTAAATTAGCTTGTAAACAACGAAACAGCATTATCATAACACTGAAAAGCTATTAATTCCTGTTGGAAATGAGATTCGACATGGGCTTATTTTATAAGAAATGGCAGACTTCTCATTTTTTACATTTCTTTATTATTTAATCCTTTTATACAACACAAAATTCGCTATTACTTTTATAATAAATACTTCTTACACACTCTGAAAATAGCACTGTACTATAGCATATATGCATGAAAACCTCTACTTCTCTTGTTAAAGTCAGACTATGGATAAAGATATTTGATTGAATGGCAAAAACAGCACAGTAAGGGCCTGGAAACAATGTTCATATAAGGTGTTATTATTGTCAAGGATAAATATAGGCAACGATTAGATCTGTTTTGTTGTATCTCAGAGGGAAAAAAGTTTTGCTCTTCCTTAGGCTTTTGCCAATGAAATTATGAGAAGAGAATTTTGGGCTTAGGGAGAAGAGGAAGACTTTACAACACAAGTCCTTAATTTGTGGGGTTTGTAGATCACTACACTGGGCCAAAGCCCTCTGGATATCACTTGACACCTACTTTCACTTGCCGGTGAAAACAATTTTTAAAAATATAACAAAGAGAAACTGAATCTGGTTTTGATATGACATAATTGAAAGTGACATATCTTGTGAATAAAAGTCTAAATACTGTTGATGGAATTGTTAAATTTAGTATCAAGAGAGACACTGGAGAGCAAGTTTCTAGCATAATGCTCTGTTTTAGTGATGAGATGCAAAAAAGATAAGTGACTTGCTCATGCTAACATATACAGTGAGTATCTAATCTGATAATAGAACAGAGTTTCAGACATTTGGGATTAGAAAGTAACCCAGTAATCATTAGGATGCATTCCACAATGATGTAAATGAGCCAAATATGACTGAAAAACATAATCAAGTGCCGACATGGGCAATTTTGACTAACAGTTAAACAGCTGAGTTTTGGAGTCAGAATGCTTGGGTTTGAAGCTCACCTCTAGCACCTGCTATCTCTGTAACCTTGAGGAGTCAATTCACTGAACCTCTATAAGTCTCAGTTTCCTCTTCTGTAAAATGAGGAAAACAGTAGTACTTGACAGTTCTCAAAAATAGGTCCTTAGAAGCTCATGGAGGGTCAGGGATAGGGTATGGGACATGTAGACTAAGTGGGTCGCACTTAGGTCAGAAAGCTGCTTTTTGATATTTTTAATATTTCCATATCTTTGCAGAGATATACTCTCCATAGGCCATGCGGTCTAATGGAGAAAGTAGGCGATGTGTTTTTGTACAGCTCATAAACCACCACAGGGATAAGATGTAAGAGTGAGAGGTGACTTAAACTATCCAGATGTGTAGAAGTCTTGCTCAACTGGTAATACAGCAATGAAAAGATCTTGACATTGCTGACAATTTTATATCATAGAGAAGACATTTTAGAAGAAGTAATTCTCCATGTTTCAGGACTGTCTGTCTCACTGCAGAGCAATTAACCTCCCTGGTGGCCAATGGCACACCCCCACTTATTTCCACGTATTTCCAAATGTAGAAAGACCAACCCCAGTGAGAACCATGACTAGAGGAAGTAAGCGATGCTCTGAATTTAATCTTATCAACAAGAAGAATGGGTTGGTAATGGAGACATATGGAGAGCTTTGGGGGAAAATGACCTTATTATCTTGAAGACATGATATCTAGGAAAAGGAAAGCCAGACATACAAGACATATTTACTAGACCAAACCTCCCCAAACTGTGTCCCTAGGAATGTCTGTACAAAACAAATGGTTCTATGGCCAAAAATGTCTGGGAAACACCACATACTTAATTAGCCATCTTTAGATTCATAATGCCCACTATTAGCACGATAAAGGGTCAGAGATGTCTTAGAATAAGAAACCAAGTATGAAATATTTCGAAACGGAAAACTCTTTTCTCTGTATACCTATTAATACGCTCTCTTCCTGTGGCCCCTTTCCCATTTCTACTCTAACAGTTTTAATAGCAATTTAAAAAGAGCTTCTCTGGACAGGTTTTAAAATTTTTAAGAAAAAAATATAAAATAATTCTAGTGTAAGAGAAGATAGGTCAAGAAAATGGTCCAGAGTAATTCCAACTTTTCCACTAATTTTTTTTTTCATGCAAAAGAAATGGGCCATACTTTAAGATTCTCTCCTCTGATCCCTCAAACCAATCAGAAATTCCTTCGGATGTCCAAACTGCCTTTGGTCAGTTTCTTCTCTGAATGGCCACTATGGCTGTTGTAAGG